CCGAGCAAGTGTCTAAATCGACTCTTACTCACGAGATATCCGATCTCATCCGGCCTCGAACCGGCGTGAATGAGCAGTGTGTGTCAATATATTTTACACTTTTGCCTTTATTGGACAACAGCACGATACAAAGTTTCGAACTGGTCACCCGTCTATCCACTAGTATCGCCTTACGTTGCTTAACTTCGGTGTTCTAATGGGAACCGGTGTTTCGACGTAGCTGGACCGTTGGTTGCCCGTAATACTATAGCTACAACCGTTATAACACTAGTTATACCACCCCGCATAAATTCAGTATTATTATAAATACGTAATTTATTTCACACCCCTTAAAGTGTAGCACAATTAGAATCATAAAAACGATGCCACTTAACAGTTACATAATGTTTATAATGTTAATTTTAAAGGTCGTTTTACATAAAAATTGTTTATCTGTTTTTATTTATGATACAAAACCCGCTTGATCATAAAACTTTTTGATCATGTCGATGAGTTTTTTTTATATTGAGTATGTATGGGGCTTAAGAAGCAGCGTGGTGAAGGCGTTGTTCCACTGTTCTCATCTTAAACATTGTCAGCTGTCATAAAAAGATTCTTATTAAAATTCTAATTAATTAAATTTTACAGAATTCACAAGCAAAACTTTTAAACTAAAATTGGCTGTAATACTAAATCTAAATGGAAATAAAATATTAGTACGCCTATGACTCAAGAGTTTGGTTTGGTTTGGTGGCGACACGTCGGAAAGAGAAATGCATGGCTTCCAAATTTTATAGAGGCGGGGTGAGACCAATCAGCTAAGACAAATCAAGTGGTGGGAAAGAATAAGGCCTTAGATGCCAGGTCTAGGAAATATTCCCTAACATTAAGGTTTCTATCGAGGAAATACATTTTTAGAAAGCATATTTTTGGACACAATTTAGTGTGTGTATTTAATTTGTTTTCTCAAACTTGGCATTTCTAAAAGTATCATCAGATAAATATTTTAAAAGAATATTTTTTGTTGGTAGATTGACCGTGCCAACCAGGCTTCAGGAAATTTTCAAAACTTCATCTGGCAACACTGACAGTATCGAAGTCCTAGAACGGTAGACATACTTTGACACATTTATCAAATCAGTCGGATTTTGAAAGGGGTTGGGTGTACATCATTCTACAATATATTACGATTTTGAAGGTTCCTTGTCGGGGAATCACCTTCTGCGCCTTCCTTATTGTCACAATTTCTGCACGCCGCAATGCAGCCTGTTTGCTCAAATTTATGAACAATGTTGCGTACAGTTGTGGCATAAGGCACAGGGCGATCTTGAAAGGTGAACACATAACGCCCAATGACCTCTTCCACACTTGAGGAAATGTAAAACCATTTAACGATATGCACCTTCTCTTCGGTCGTATAAATAGCCATTTTTGAAACACTTAACGTACACACCGAAACAGCTAGGCGAAAAGAATGATGCAAAAATAGTTTGGATCTCAGGTGATCTATTTCCTTTCCCCACCTTTTCATCTACATAAAGGTGCGTATTCACTATCCGAACGAACGAATGCTACTATCCAACGAGCGAACGTCCAGTCTTGTTCGCGCGGTTCTATAATTCTCATTCGTTTGCGAACGTCTTTGATATACCGAATGGAAACAGATGAGGGAGCGAACCGAATGGCGAACGGCCGCATGCATTCGGTTTGCTGTCCAAATATACCGAATTTCATTCCTTTGTTCTTTCGGATAGTGAATACGAACCTTAACATAAAGCACCGCCCCTCTCAATGCGTTCTCCCACCATGCTTATGCTTTACTTGCCCACACCCGTAAAACCGGCAACACTGTATCGGTCGCACCGGCTTCTCGTCGGCCCCTTTTGATGCTGTCTCTCCTGTCTCGTCAACCGGTCATTTATATTATTCTCTGTCTTACACGTTAAAATCCTATACACAGTAATCAAATGACCAGGTCGGTATATATATATATATATTTATTTATATATAAAGTTTATATATATATATATATATATATATATATATATATATATATATATATATATATATATATATATATATATATATATATATATATATATATATATATACTATATATATATATATATATATATATATATATATATATATATATATATATATATATATATGCTTCTGCTATATATATATATAGTATATATATATATATATATACAGGGTGTCCCAGAAATGAGTGCAGATATTTTAAGGGGTGGTAGATCTGGCCAAAAGAAACATATTTTCTCTTTACCATTTTTAAAATAGATTGAAAATAACCGAGTTATTTAACTTTGAAAGTTTAAAAAAAAAATTGCGACATTTTGAGAGCCGCCGGGGAATCTCGCGGATCCCCCGGCGCGGGGGAGAGATCTCGCGGATCTCAGCTTGTTCGCCGCCCGCTGTTGCCACATCGACTAGAAAGACTTAAAAAGTACTTGCAAAATCCCACACCATCCAAGAGGTTCTGCAGAGGTGCGTTACTTTTTTTAAGTGGGTGATCGCCAGTAGCCCTACTTTTCACATTACACAAAATAAACTAAAAGAAAAAAAACTTACCAAACAATAAAAAAAGATATCCCTATAGCAGAGAGATACAACTGCAGAGCTTTCTTTTTTTCCATTTTACCACTCTTAAACTGCACATAACACTACATTAATAACATCACTTCACTACAATTCTTAACAACACTATGCAAATTTTCAACTGTGGAAATATTGGCTCTCCTATTAATTTTAGAGCTAAATCGTAAATGGTTTTTAAAGATACATTACAAATTTTGCACAAGTGATCCAATATCTCGACCAGTTTCAAAATTTGCATGGGATATCTATTTCCAACGATGATGCACCACCCGGTATACCCTTCGCTTCCTTGACTGCATGCTATTACAATAATTGTTCAACATGACGACCTCCATTTCCAATACATGCTCTCTTCTTCTGAGCATGGAATTTTTAACGTTTTGCAGCAATTCTTCGTTGCTTTTCCCGAATCCCTCAAATGCTGAACCATACTTACAAAGGTTCGAGCATTAGGGATTTATCTATTCGGATACTCTTCGGAATAAGTCTCCGAGGTTCTACAGCGCTTTCCCCTGCCAGAAAGTACCTATGCTCTTAGCATATCCACCTTCTTCGGATTATTATATTATATTAATTACCGACACAAAAATATGCACTAACGAACATTTCACAACACTTTAAACACAATCTCCGATCACTTTCTCGAATTTTAAAAGCTTGATAATATTAGAAATTAGATCGATTTCTAATAGTGTACATGCTTTGTGTACATGCAATTAATAATGTCGTTAATATAATACAGGAATCTGTAATTTTCTCCCCACCGCCCATTTCATTGGAAAAAACGGCGGCAAGTTTTCTGCTTTTGAAATTACGATCGATGGCATTTTATTGTGTAAAGTGGATGGTAAAAAATGGCATCGATCGTAATTTCTCAGGCAATTTAACGTCTTAGCAGGTATACTTATTTTTTTATCAAAAAGCTTTATAGAAAAAAATAACTGAACATAACTGAACATCTTAGTAGCTTTATTACTAATTAAACTATTCAAAACATGTTCTGATATTACTAAAAAAAATTAAGTAAAAAATATAGCAAATTTTATAGTTTGACGACGTTATAATTAACAATAGGCAAATGGAAAAAATTACCTAACTACATATTAGAGACATAATTCCATACCTAGAAATACCGTATGGTCGAAAAAAAACGGCGTCCAGAATGGCTTGAAAATAACGGTCGGTGACATTCTCCATAAAATTTTACACATAAATTGACAGCGATCTTTATATCATAGCCATCGCTGACGCCGTTTTTCTCAATTCCATATTGTATTTCCCATTAATCACATGGTGGCAATACTAATTTATATTTAAATAGATATATCTAAATGTGTATAAACTAGGTATTTTATTAGCAATCATATTTAAGCTATTATGACTCATATCATATTCTAATTATTTGAAACTTGAAACATAATATTTACTCCTATTATATTCATGTAACTAAATTTTCTAATATTAATAACTCTCTGATAATAAAAAACAAGAGTGTGTTTTGAAAAAGTAAAGCATAATTAGTACTGTGTATTGACTTTATTGTGAAAAGCAACCTATTTGAAACACATTTACGTAACTACAGAATAGTTTAAAAAAGAACTTACACACATGTTTTTTTTAGTCTATTTTCTTTATTATATTTGAAAACTACAGTCCCCCTTCCAATACATAAAAACATTTATATTCAAATATACTCTAGATAGAGCTCCAATTTTTATATGAAATGAGAATTTGTTCACACATAAACTACCGTATGATCGAGAAAAAACGGCGTCAACGATGGCTATGAAATGAAGGTCGCTGTCATTTTATATGTAAATTTATATAGGAAATGTCATTGATCGTCATTTCCCAGCCAACTGGACGCCGTTTTTTTTTCGATCATATGGTACATTTTATGTATTTTATTCTTTAATTTTAATTACTACAAATGGTCTTGATATTTTTCTTTTGAATACATATATTCTTGTTACTCTCTTTCATCTTTGTCTCTAATATACAGATGCATTGCAATTTGTTGTTAGTATATTTATGTAATCATTTCATAAATCCTAAAAATAAAAATGGTTATAACATGCTTTCCAGATATCCATATCCACAATATTCTGTGTGTAAATATGTTCAATTTTTAATAACCCATTCACTAAATGAGATTGTGAGACAACATACAGGTAGCTGTTTAAATAATTTTCAATCTTTGTATGTAATAATAGATTTCACATATTATATGCATTACACAATATGCATTACCTGCAATAATAAAAGATATTTTCTTTAAAGTGTATAATTCTATCTAACACACTTCTAATAAAGTATACTCTGACTCTTTGAACATTTGTTACAGCTTCTAATAATTAGGTATATCGATAACTTCCTAAGAAATTTTGTTAGCACTTTTAGTTAGTTTACCATTTTTCTCAATATATTCTGCATAATATATGACTCGATACATTCACCTAGAATAAAATCAATAATATCATTTATGAATAGAAAACTACATGTATAACTTTTTCGTTAATATTTGCAATTTCTTGGTTTGTTTAAAAATATCTTACCGTATAACATAAATTTACATCTGAATTAATCTAATCAGATCAAAATTTCTTCATAGTATAGAAAACATCGAAACTATTTGACTGGTAATCGAGCTATCAATAAGCTGACACTAAAATTTAATGCATAATTAAATGGGATAATTATTTTCATGTAAAACAAAACTTTATACTTAATAAGACCACAGGGAGTACATAATAACAGTGTTACTGAGATATTTGATTTAATGTATTGCTTGGTATTTGTAGATCTATTATTGTATTGTGATTACAATTGCCTTCTTCTCCATTGATGCATCCTAATTTAAGATTACTGATTTTCTAATACATAATTAAAGTGAATTATTTTTCCTACCATTACATAATTAATTTCTTCCTACCATTAGGTAGATACCTGAAAGGTTAATAAATTAAAAACGAATTTATTAAGACATTTAAACTGTTTACCTCATTTCTCACATATTTTTGACACCAAACATTATAAATAAATCAAAAAATATTCGTATACCAACTGAATTATATGATATTTCATTTTAAATAATAAAAGTACTTTTTACAGGTTTATTTAGCATTGTTTTTTGTTGTTTTCTGTTTTGTGCGAGTTTTATAACTCACGAATAACCTTAAACTATAAACTACACACCGTACTAGGGATGTACGATTCGAATCGATTTTAATGGAAGATCGATTTTTATCAAATCGATCGATTTTTATCAAACGATCTTTTGGTATAATCGATCTTTTTTTAAATCGAAGACCGATTTTATTTATACAGGTTTATTGGTATACCGGTTTGTTTATTTGTTTGAATAAAAAGAAACACTTTGGTTTTGCTGGAATATTTGTTTGCAGTGCATCCCTAGTAAAAGGCCATCTAGCAATGAATTGAAAAATTAAGTGTAAGTGCCCGCTGCCGCATGCGCCGATGTTTGTTTATCACTTTGATATCAGGTGTCAGGGGATTCCCATATTTTTATATTTTAGATAACGTAGAATATTCTTTGATTTTACCTTAATTCTTTCTTGTACTTTTCTTGTATTTTTAATTTATTTTTGGGATATCCCTACTCCATACATTAAACATTTAGAAAATTGATTTATCTATCTTTAGACAACCACCAAAACGTTGACCCATAATAGTAATACATCAGTCCAGTAGAGGACGCTAAGTCAAAAAATTCCGAAATAAAAATTTGTAATTTGTAATTCCTTTAGTGTTTTCGAAATCGTTGTCGGGGTTGCGTCGGTTTTGAAGAAATGTCGAAGAAAACCCCGGACTGTCTACCATCAGCCGCCGGATATAAGTATTAGTAGTAGTTATTAAAGCAAGTTTTTTAACATTTTTTATTGTATTTATGAGTTTAGTGTTTGATTATTATCATGTGAAAAATTTTAAATAATATTTTAAAAGTGATAGGCATGTGATAGGTTTGTGATGTTCAGTTTAATAGATATTTGGTGTGTATGTGTTTGCGTATATGTGTGCTGGATAAAAACACTTTCATTAAAAGGGTAAGCTCTAACTAAACATTAAATGTTATAATTGTTTATTGAAACGATTGAAAATATTTCCTAATATGGCAAAAAAGAAGCTATAATTGTTAAGATTTATTTTTTCAGTTTACTCCACTGTAAAAAGTATTTAAAATATTGCGCGTTTCTCTAGAATTAGTAGAGCAATCTACACTAATATGAATAAAATAAATTTTCGTATTTTTTTCTGTAGCAACTTAAAATAATTGAATTTATAGATAAACATGCAGAATGTGGGTATGGTAGGAGGTGGCAACGTTGCATTCTCTCTGACACTCTCTATGCCCGAATTTCCCGGGGAGTGAACAGTGGCACTCAAAAGTTTTTCAACATTTTCCGGAAAATGTCAAGAAAAATATAAAATTTTCAACATTTTTTTTTCGCAAAAAAAACCTCATAGGCGTGTTTCTGGGTTGAACTATCTACCAGTTAAAATATCTGCACTCATTTCTGGGACACCCTGTATATATATATATATATACTTTGGGTGTCCCAGAAATAAATGCAGATCTTTTAGAAATTATTAGATCTGGCCAAAAGAAACATATTTTCTCTTTACCATTTTTAAAATAAATTGAAAATAAACGAGTTATTTAACTTTGAAAGTTTAAAAAAAAATTGCGACATTTTGAGAGCCGCCGGGGAATCTCGCGGATCCCCCGGCGCGGGGGAGAGATCTCGCGGATCTCGGCTTGTTCGCCGCCCGCTGTTGCCGCATCGACTAGAAAGACTTAAAAAGTACTTGCAAAATCCCACACCACCCAAGAGGTTCTGCAGAGGTGCGTTACTTTTTTTAAGTGGGTGATCGCCAGTAGCCCTACTTTCCACATTCCACAAAATAAACTAAAAAAAACTTACCAAACAATAAAAAAAGATATCCCTATAGCAGAGAGATACAACTGCAGAGCTTTTTTTTCCTATTTTACCACTCTTAAAACTGCACATAACACTACACTTAATAACATCACTTCACTACAATTCTTAACAACACTGTGCAAATTTTCAACTGTGGAAATATTGGCTCCCCTATTAATTTTAAAGCTAAATCGTAAATGGTTTTTAAAGATACATTACAAATTTGCACAAGGGGATCCAATATCTGGACAGTTCAAAATTTGCATGGGATATCCTATATTTCCCACGATGATGCACCACCCGGTATACCCTTCGCTTCTTGACTGATTGCTAGTCTAATAATTGTTCAAAATGACCACCTCCATTTCCAATACATGGTCTCCTTCTTCTGAGCATGGAATTTTTAACGTTTTGCAGCAATTCTTCGTTGCTTTTCCCGAATCCCTCAAATGCTGAACCATACTTACAAAGGTTCGAGCATTAGGGATTTATCTATTCGGATACTCTTCGGAATAAAGTCTCCGAGCTTCTACAGCGCTTTCCCCTGCCAGAAAGTACCTATGCTCTTAGCATATCCACCTTCTCCGGAATTGTATACTCCATCGCGATTTGTTTATACCGATACCGATTACTGACACAAAAATATGCACTAACGAACATTTCACAACACTTTAAACACAATCTCCGATCACTTTCTCGAATTTTAAAAGCTCGATAATATTAGAAATTAGATCGATTTCTAATAGTGTACATGCTTTGTGTACATGCGATTAATAATGTCGTTAGTCGTTAATATAATACAGCTGTGTAATACAGGAATCTGTAATTTTCTCCCCACCGCCCATTTCATTGGAAAAAACGGCGGCAAGTTTACTGCTTTTGAAATTACGATCGATGGCATTTTATTGTGTAAAATTGGATGGTAAATGGCATCGATCGTAATTTCTCATGCAAGTATACTTATTTTTTTTATCAAAAAAGCTTTATAGAAAATAAAATAACTGAACATGTTAGTAGCTTTATTACTAATTAAACTAATAATCAAAACATGTTCTGATATTACTAAAAAAAATTAAGTAAAAAATTTATAATATAGATAATAAAGTACATATTAGAGACATAATTCCATACCTAGAAATACCGTATGGTCGAAAAAAACGGCGTCCAGAATGGCTTGAAAATAACGGTCGGTGACATTCTCCATAAAATTTTACACATAAATTGACAGCGATCTTTATTTCATAGCCATCGCTGACGCCGTTTTTTTTTCACGATCATATTGTATTTCCCATTAATCGCATGGTGGCAATACTAATTTATATTTAAAGAGATATATCTAAATGTGTATAAACTAAGTATTTTATTAGCAATCATATTTAAGCTATTTGTACTCATATCATATTCTATTACTTGAAACTTGAAACATAATATTTGCTCCTATTATATTCATGTAACTAAATTTTCTAATATTAATAACTCTCTGATAATAAAAAACAAGAGTGTGTTTTGAAAAAGTAAAGCATAATTACTGTGTATTGACTTTATTGTGAAAAGCAACCTATTTGAAACACATTTACGTAACACAGAATAGTTTAAAAAGAACTTACACACATGTTTTTTTTAGTCTATTTTTCTTTATTATATTTGAAAACTACAGTCCCCCTTCCAATACATAAAAACATTTATATTCAAATATACTCTAGATAGAGCTCCAATTTTATATGAAATGAGAATTTGTTCACACATAAACTACCGTATGATCGAGAAAAAACGGCGTCAACGATGGCTATGAAATGAAGGTCGCTGTCATTTTATATGTAAGAATTTATATAGGAAATGTCATTGATCGTCATTTCCCAGCCAACTGGACGCCGTTTTTTTCGATCATATAATTTGATTTTATGTATTTTATTCTTTAATTTTAATTACTACAAATGGTCTTGATATTTTTTCTTTTTTGAATACATATATTCTTGTTACTCTCTTTCATCTTTGTCTCTAATATACAGATGCATTGCAATTTGTTGTTAGTATATTTTGTAATCATTTCATAAATCCTAAAAATAAAAATGGTTTGAAACATGCTTTCCAGATATCCATATCCACAATATTCTGTGTGTAAATATGTTCAGTTTTTAATAACCCCATTCACTAAATGAGTTGAGACACAACATACAGGTAGCTGTTTAAATAATTTTCAATCTTTGTATGTAATAATAGATTTCACATATTATATGCATTACACAATATGCATTACAATTCGCAATAATAAAAGATATTTTCTTTAAAGTGTATAATTCTATCTAACACACTTCTAATAAAGTATACTCTGACTCTTTGAACATTTGTTACAGCTTCTAATAATTAGGTAGGTATATCGATAACTTCCTAAGAAATTTTGTTAGCACTTTTAGTTAGTTTACCATATATTCTGCATAATATATGACTCGATACATTCACCTAGAATAAAATCAATAATATCATTTATGAATAGAAAACTACATGTATAACTTTTTCGTTAATATTTGCAATTTCAGACCAGAACTTGTCTGAAGAGAACTTTCTTGGTTTGTTTAAAAATATCTTACCGTATAACATAAATTTACATCTGAATTAATCTAATCAGATCAAATTTTCTTCATAGTATAGAAAACATCGAAACTATTTGACTGGTAATTGAGCTATCAATAAGCTGACACTAAAATTTAATGCATAATTAATTAAATGGGATAATTATTTTCATGTAAAACAAAACTTTATACTTAATAAGACCACAGGGAGTACATTATTACAACAGTGTTACTGAGATTTTTGATTTAATGTATTGCTTGGTATTTGTAGATCTGTTATTGTATTGTGATTACAATTGCCTTCTTCTCCATTGATGTATCCTAATTTAAGATTACTGATTTTCTAATACGTAATTAAAGTGAAATTATTTTTCCTACCATTTAATTTATTTTCCTACCATATAATTTCTTCCTACCATTAGGTAGATACCTGAAAGGTTAATAAATTAAAAACGAATTTTTTAAGACATTTAAACTGTTTACCTCATTTCTCACATATTTTTGACACAAAACATTATAAATAAATCAAAAAATATTCGTATACCAACTGAATTATATGATATTTCATTTTGAATAATAAAAGTACTTTTTTACAGGTTTATTTGGCATTGTTTGCATTGTTTTTTGTTGTTTTCTGTTTTGTTTTTGTGCGAGTTTAATAACCCACGAATAACCTTAAACATAACCTTAAACTACACACCATACTAGGGATGTACGCTTCGAATCGATTTTTATCAAATCGACCTGATTTTTATCAAACGATTTTTCGTCTAATCGATTTTTTTAAATCGAAGACCGATTTTATTTATACAGTTTTACAGGTTTATTTTATTTGTTAGAATTTAGAATAAGAAAAAAAACACTTTAGTTTTGCTGGAATATTTGTTTGCAGTGCATCCCTAGTAAAAAGGCCATCTAGCAATGAACTGAAAAATTAAAGTGTAAGAAAGTGCTGGCTGCCGCATGCGCCGATGTTTGTTTATCACTTTGATATCAGGTGTCAGATTTTTTGTCAGGGCTTCCCATATTTTTTTATATTTTAGATAACGTAGAATACTCTTTGATTTTACCTTAATTCTTTCTTGGGTATACCACTTCTTGTACTTTTATTTTATTTTGGGATATCCCACTCCATACATTAAACATTTAGAAAAATTGATTTATCTATCTCTTTATACAACCACCAAAACGTTGACCCATAATAGTAATACATCAGTCCAGTAGAGGGACGCTAAGGTAAAAAATTTCTAAATAAAAATTTGTAATTTGTAATTCCTTCAGTGTTTTCTTCGAAATCGTTGTCCAGGGTTGCGTCGGTTTTGAAGAAATGTCGAAGAAAACCCCGGACTGTCTACCATCAGCCTCGGATATAAGTAGTTATTAAATCAAGTTTTTAACATTTTTATTGTATTTATGAGTTTAGTGTGTGATTATTATCATGTGAAAAAATTTTAAATAATATTTTAAAAGTGATAGGCATGTGATAGGTTTGTGATGTTCAGTTTAATAGATATTTGGGTGTGTATGTGTTTTGCGTATATGTGCTGGATAAAAACACTTTCATTAAAAGGGGTAAGCTCTAACTAAACATTAAAGGTTATAATTGCTTCATTGAAACGATTGAAAATATTTCCTAATATGGCGAAAAAGAAGCTATAATTGTTACAGATTTATTTTCAGTTTACTCCACTGTAAAAAAGTATTTAAAATACTGCGCGTTTCTCTAGAATTAGTAGAGCAATCTACACTGATATGAATAAAATGAATTTTCGTATTTTTTCTGTAGCAACTTAAAATAATTGAATTTATAGATAAACATGCAGAATGTGGGTATGGTAGGAGGTGGCAACGCGTTGCATTCTCTCCGACATCTCTCTAATGCCCGGTAAACGAATTTCCCGGGGAGTGAACAGTGGCACTCAAAAGTTTTTCAACATTTTTCCGGAAAATGTCAAAAAAAATATAAAATTTTCAACATTTTTTCGCAAAAAAACCTCATAGGCGTGTTTCTGGGGTTGAACTATACTACCAGTTAAAATATCAAGCCCTCATTTCTGGGACACCCTGGCATATATATATATATATATATATATATATATATATATATATATATATATAAAAGTTCATATATAAAGTTTATATATATATATATATATATATATATATATATGCTATATATATATGCTATATATATATATATATATATAAAAATTCATATATATATATATATATAAAAGAATTCATATATAAAGTTCTTATATAAGTTTATATATATATATATATATATATATATATATATATATATATATATATATATATATATATATATATATAATATATATATATATATATATATATATATATATATATATATATATACTATATATATATATATATATATATATATATATATAATATGTATATGTATATGTAATAATAATATGTAATAATAATATATGTATATGTATATATATAATAATAATAATATGTAATATGTATATGTAATAATAATATATATATGTGTATAATAATATGTATATAGCCAATATACAATATGTCTAATATATAACAACCAATAACTATATATATATATATGTAATATGTATATATACATACATACATACATATATATATATATATATATATATATATATGCTATATAATATATACATATATAAATGTACTATACATATATATCCATATACAAATATATATATATATATATAGCAGCATATATACTATACTATATATATATATATATATATATATATATATATATATATATATATATATATAATATATATATATATATATATATATATATATACTATATATATATTAAAGTAGTGTATCTTTGGTGTAATGATATTATCTTTGTAGATACGATAGTGTTTTCTCTGTGTATCCTTTATACATGCCTATGTTAATGCGCCTCTATATTTGTGTGCCTAATTCTCCTAGTATCAGCTAGTTACATACAAAAGGCCGTTTAATCTCACCTGTCGAGGAGGAGGTCCCTTTCCTGGCGCAGTTGCCTAATATCGTCGGCCGAACTGTGAAACAGGGCCCTTTGAAAGTTGCCCGCCTCGCCGAACGGCGTCTGGTCCCTGAGCGTGCCCTGCAACGCCTCCACCTCATCTTTTAACCGGGTCCCTTTCCTATGGATTACATCTAAAAGGTTCCACAGCTCGTCTTCGGTATCGTCAGTCTCACTGGTGCCTGCAAAAAGACAATTCTGTATTTTGTTGCAATTGTTATAGTAGAGAACGCTGATTTGAAATGCTATGGATCATTAAATACGGGATTTTTCACACAATTCGTTCATTTATTATTATTCGTTTATTTATTTTAGCATCTGATTTAGATAGAAATCTAAATATTTTAGAATATTTTGAGGAGTACTACCTAAGTCGTTGCAAAATTATTTATTTTAAATATAATTACTTATATAGTACAGAAGCTAAATAATTAGATTTTTAGAAAATTTGAGTATTGAGATCTTTGATGTATTTCTATAGGGCTACAATTTCATCAAATTGAGAGAGAGAGAGTGTTCCAAATTAAATAAAAACCATTAAAGTATTTTTTAGATATAAGTGAAGCAAAAGACTTGTGATCTGAATAATCGCAATAATAAAAAATAAATATAATGGTATACGATGGTTGTCTTTTATATTTTGCATATAGAAGCATAGTAGGCACCTGTCAACATATATCAAATGTCAAAATTAACTGTCATCTTTAGTTAACTTAACGCCAACGTTTCAAACTGCTTCGTTTAAAGCTATATATAAACTGAATTTATGAAGTTAACGAATCAGTCGAAAAATGGAATTATGCTAAGGAAATTTTCGCGTAATAATTTTTTACAATTTGTACAGATAGATTGATTTGTATCTGTGACAGTTGTTTCAACAAGATTGCCTTGCCGAGTTGGTTTATGTGTTTGGCAATGAAGCACCACATCAGTCGACAATTTTTCGTTGGTACGGAGAATTCAAACGTGGACAGATTAGTCTTAGCGACGATCCAAGAGCAGGTCCACCAACAACGGAAATCATCCAGGAAAATGTCGATGCTGGTCCAAGAAGAAAATCGACATGTCACATATGGTGAAATGAAGCAGCATTGTGCATTTAAAAGACATCAATTCAAAAAAAAATGAAGAATTATCTGCAAAAAAATTGTTTCTCGTTGGATACCGCATGTGTTGACGCAGGAACAGAAAGCAATTAGAGTCAATTGGTGTCAAAAAAATCTACACCGGTTTAACGCAGGAAACTCAAAAAATACATAGAGTATTGTCAATGGTGATGAATCTTGAATTTACTCTATTGAACCCGAAAATAACGTCAATCGACTGTTTGGGTGTCCCGAGAAAAACCAAAACCGACAAAAGTTATCCGTTGTTGAAATGTTTCCAAAAAGATGGTGGCGACATTTGCCTCAAAAGCCGTTCATGTAGCAACAATTCCTCTGCAAGATCAAAGAATTGTTACTGCTAATATGAACATTTCTATTTATTTGCCGGAAGTAATTGCTGAGTTTCGAAAAACCAACCCTCGTCTACCAAGACAATGCAAGTTCTCACACAGCTCGAAAAAAAATTGAATTTTAAAACAAGAAAATATCCAATTGTTGACTATCCTCCATACAGTCCCGACCTAAGCCCTAACGATCTTTTTACTTTTCCAAAAATTAAAAATAAACTTCATGGTCAAAGGTTCCAGTCCCCAGAAGATGCAGTCAGCGCTTCAAAAACACAATTTTGAAGGTACCAACAAACGAGTGGAATAACCGTTTTCAGAACCGATTCCAACGGATACAAAAATGCACGTGTTTAAAAGTTATCTACTGTATTTTTCTATCTTTATACGCAAAATATAAAAGACAACCCTCGTACCCTACGTAGTAAATCGAATTTGACAGATTTAATTTTAAATCACCTACAGGACACAAAAGTGTGGGTCGCTTGCGAAAGCGGTAGAGGGACAATGTATTAAGGTTGATTCTCACTACAACCTTATATAGATACTCTTACAACCTTCCGTTTCCATTCCATATCTATTCCATATCCGTTCCGTATTTTTTATTGTATTGACGCTATAGGTACATAAGCTTTTGTTGCGTATCAGTCCATACTTTTTATTGTACAAAAACCAAATCATTACGAAAGTTTTATTTTAAAAGTTTGTATCTTTTGAAAAAGTTAATAGATTTAATTAAGAGATGAAAGAATAAATAAATATCACCAAAATGTTAACAGAGCTGGTACAAATGAAAGAACTTGACAACGCTGTTTCCGATACGCTTCAGTCCGTTCCCCAAAAAATGTATGGAAGGAAAGGATATGGAACGGAAGGGAAACGGAAATGATAATGTTCATTGTCTTATTCATTTAAATGATATAATATTTTATGTAAACGGAAGGGAAACGGAAGGTAGCTGATACGGAAGGTATAGTGAGAACCAACCTTAAGGCAGTAAATACCCGACTTTAGGCCTGATTAAAAAGGAAGAAAAAGATATTCTATAATTATAATCCTTATAATATTTGACAGATTTGATGAGATATATGTGGCACATTTGTATATGATGTATGTGATATATTGCATGCCTTTTGTAAATAGATATATATATATAATATATAATATTGTAAATAGATATAACTGTTTAAGATTTAAAAAAATGTGAAGAAAACAAAAAATATCGAAACTAAGTATGGTATCTTAAAGCACCCAATCTATCTTACTGTGCATGTATTTTACTATCTGATTTATCATGGTTACAAGAAAGATTATTACATTAAATTTTCATGCACGACTTCCCGAGGTACATTACCCACCAACAAAAACTCGTCATTTTCCCTATAGTTCGGTTACCTGTGGCGGAAGTAGACGTAGGCGGCGCCGTGGACGACGCGCTGTGCGTCTCCTTGCTGGACGCCTCCGTGCTGAACCCCGAGTCCTGGACGGCGGAAGTGGAAGAACCCGCGGCCGAGTCGCCGCTCAGTTTCTTGTCCTTTCCGGCGCCCGAACCGACGCCCAATTTCTTGCGCACCCGGATGCCGGGCGTCCAGTCCCCCGGCCTGATGGAAATGGGAATGTTGGAGTGGTGATGGTGGCCTGAAAAAAGAAAAATGGATATAATTCGTGCCTAAAGGGTAATACTTATAAGGGTGACACATAGTATTTCCTCAAGGCAAGAATGCGCAGACAAGCCCTTGATGATTTTATTTAAATTTTAATATCTCATACACTATGTATGTATAGGATTGCGTTTACAAGAAGAAAAACTTATTATAGAGATTTTGAAAAAAATACTGAGATGAACCGCCTATTTAAAAATAGACATATTTCTTTAAATTCAAAACACTCAGTTTTAAGACACTCTGTATACATAAATAAAATTATTATTTTTAAAATATTATTCGCAAAACCAGAGAGAGGGAAATCAGGCGACAAACAGAGATAATAGTTGTTAAGTAATAGCTTTTAGACTACCATTCGAAATGCATGATGTTATTTTGGTTAGTAAGTTTTGTGACAAAAAATGTTATTAAGGTAAAGTAAATGTTTTCTCATTATTTAACTAGTGTTAACTAAACATATAACTTATTTGTTTGTTGTAATATTCTGTTCTAAGATTTATTATGAAATGTTAAACGAAAGTAATTTATTTGATCTGACAAAGATAATATACAAGGTTGCTGATATGTATGGAAACGGTCGATTATTGGGCAAAGTATAAGAGGTCCCGCAAAATGTTAAATAAAAAAGTTATAGGGCTTTTAAATGTCTAACAACTTGTAATAAATTTAAGTATACAGGGTCGGTCATAAAGTCGTGGCACCTCAAAGATTCATTTTTTTTTTAAATAGAATCCCCTGTATATTATTGTGTATTTTATTCTTGCTTCAATTTTAAGCAAAACTTGTAATACACATAATGTACCTAAATTCAACCATATCCGAATTATGAAGTTTTGATTATGAAATGTTAAACGAAAGTTTTGTAATTTCCAGACTTGATAAAATCTCATTTTATCCATCAATAAATGTTAACTTGAAAACTAATGTCAAATATTATTAAGTATCACAGTTTCCGCAGAATGGCATCGTTAAATGAAACCGAACACATCGAAATTAATTAAATCGAATTGTTTAAGAGATATTTTCAAAAGTCAATAACTCGAAAACGGTTGGTTTGAGGTGCATTGTGTGTATCTCCATTTAAACAAAATGAAACTTTGATGTGCCACGACTTTATTACCAACCCTGTATACTTAAATTTATTACTCGCCAATTGACATTTAAAAACCCTATAATTTTTGAACTAAACTTTTTGCGGTACCTCGTATATTTTACCCAATAATCGACCGTTTCCATACATATCAGCGACCCTGTATAACATGTGTATGTATTTAATGGAATCGATTATGCTGATGGGAATAATTTCAGTTTAAAAGTAATCTTATACAATCGTTTACTGTACATTCGTGCCGATGTTTGTGGTTCAGTGTGAGAATAAGGGCCTTGTTGAGTGTACTAACAATTTTCACCCAAGTATGGGCGAATATCTTAGCTAGCAAAAGGGCAAACAAAAACAATAGGTAAATAGAATAACTCATAGAATAACTTATAATCTAAAGATATTAGCACCAAACCTTCAACTTTAGCTTCGAGACTCGCAACAAGAGACCTTTGTACTTGCGGGTGGGGACCTGCTAAACTAACAAAAATAACCTCTTCCGTTTTATATGTAATAAATGTGGCATATCTTGAATGTACGAGCCCTAACAACTATATGTTGGGACAAGGTCTTGTTTACAATAAAAAATAGTAATTTGTTAAAACGACTCAATTTATTTTGTTTATTGTTCTAAATTCAAACATTACAATATGATCTAGACAATTTTACTATATTTTTATAACTTTGCAAACAAATCACTTTTGATAATAGCTTATTTTGCCAAAATCAAGCCAAATTTGCTGACAACTAGATATTGGGACAGCACAACAATAAATTTGTTTAATACGGAGTTACATCACCTTTCGCCTTAACAACTGCCTGAACTCTTAATGGCATTGTATTTACCAAAGATTGGCACATACGAGGAGAAAAATTATCCCAAATTTCCTGCAGTTTTGCCCGCAAATCAAAAATTGTTCGCTGAGAGTGGTTTCTTAAATATTGCTTCATTTTATGCCACACAGTTTCTATAACATTGAGGTCCGGACTACTTGCAGGATGGGATAGAACTTTTATATTATTATTACCGAACCAATTTTTAGTTGATTTTGCTGAATGGCACGATGTTCCATCTTGTTGGAAAATATAGTCTTCGTTTGGAAACAATTCTTGAGCACTAGGCAAAAGTGAGGTAGGTCTCAAGTATATGTTGATATCTTTGGGCGTTAACAGTGCCATCTGCCATCTATAAAATTTAATTTGCCCAAACCTCTTGTTGACATGCAACCCCAAACCATAATCATCTTAGGAAATTTAACAACCGTCTTTAAGCAATCTTTATGAAAGGCTTCTGCTTTATTTCGTATTATTCGTTTTCGATGATCTCCAACGCAAACATCAAATTTAGACTCATCGCTCCACGATAATTTAGATTTTGCCCAATTGTAGCGATTTTTCTTTTGAATTTCTGTCAGTAGCGGTTTTTCTTTGGCCTAAATAAGAATTTGTATCAATAATCTTCAGGTAATTGATTACCCACACAAAGTAAAGTTTGCCTTGTAAAACACCAGACCGCATTTGTGGATATATTTTCGGCAACATTCTCTTGATATATTTACACCAGTTACAGTATTCTGTTTAACTGTTACTTCGCGAAGAGTTGCAAATTTTTACTAAATTTCGTAAATCTCTTTGAGATACAACTTTTGGCCTTCCCGAACTTTTACCTCTAACGTCTACATTGGCAGATCCGCCGTATTTTTTTATTATATTAAAGACCGTGGTTTTTGGAATACTTAAATCATCAGAAATTTTTTCGAATTGTTTTTCCCGTACTGTATTGACGAATGATAATTTCGCGTAGTTTTTGATTTGTAGCTTTTCCACGGACCATTACTTTGAATTAAATAATTAACAAAATTGAAAATTAAAAAAATTAAAATTACTTACAGTAAATCTCACTACTGAAAGTATCGAGTCACTTACAAGCTGTCAATGCTGAAGTAAACAGTTTGCGACATTTGTGACGTTTATAGCAAAGCCGCCTATGATGATATTAATTATTTAAAAATACTTGTCCCAACATTTAGTTGTCGGCAAATTTGTCCTTTTATGAACAAAATCCTCTACTGTAAATATGGATTGATTTACAAATTAGTAAAAATATTGTCAAGTTGTTTAGGATATATGGCTATGTTTATATTTAAAAAATTAAACATATATTTTTCAGTCATTTTGAAAAACCAGGGCAATAATTCCAAAATATTACCTTGTCCCAACATATAGTTGTTAGGGCTCGTATTAAACTACAACCAGTTTCTATATTATTATTATCTCTCTTTTATTAAAGTTCAGGACAGTATAGTTAGATTCTCTGGAATAGTGATCAGGGATTTCTCTGCTATGCTCTTTTACTTGTGAATTGCAGGCAGAGTAAGATGGCGCTCATTTCATTTCATTTCATTTAATAAAATAAGTAGGCCTATTTACAAATTTAGCGTTTTATTTACATATCTTATTCTCCTCAAATTTCCCAAAATACTGCTTCTCTCAGGCGCATCCGAGGTAATCACAATAAAATATATATTTAACACAATGTAGGTTCCTTTCATTTCTTGTTATACAGTTGACCAAAATATTACCTCTTCAACTTTGTTGGCGACCGTGGGTTGCAGATTACACTACAGATTTGATGTCGGTGACCAGGATGCGCTTTTTCGAAGGGCAAATGCGGAGATTTGAAGTAGAATTAACCGTGTATTTTATGTGCCAGAAATTAAATAAAAAAATTCGGTAGAAACGGTAGTCACCCTCTCATAGAGGATTCTTGGTTGAGGAGGATTAAGGGCCCGATCCTTTTAGACTGAAGTCTGATTGATGGTCTTTTTGAATCTGAACTTATAAGTAAAATTAATTAAAAAAATGTGCAGGAAATACAAATATTATATACTCGTACTTAATACATTCTTCATAAAAATGTTGATTGTTCTAAAATGATTTTTCCTGTTTATACTTTTCCAAATTTCCATACTGTTTTAGAGAAAATTAAAAAAAAAACATGAAAATATGGTTGATTTTTTCCCAAAGTCCTAAAAATCAAAAGGCGTTGTTGCTATAGAAATATAATTTCGATTTCATTCTTTGATAGATGGATATTACATCATTTTGATTTTGATTAGCGTGATATTTTTGCCGTTGTTAATCAGATTTTTCGATAACTATTATCACCCTTTCCCTAGCATTGAACTAAATAAACTTTGTGCTTCTTCATAAATTTAAAACAGCAACAAATATTAGGTTAATTAAAATTCAATCAATAACAATCTATCAAAGATTAAAAACGCAATTATATTACAATAGAAACACGTTTTGATTTTTAAGAAAAAAAATCAACCATATTGTATTAAAAACTTAAAGATTCATATTAGAAATTTAATATAATATGAGAAAGTGTCTAAATTAAGTAGAAAAAAATCGTTTTTCTAATATTGAATTAAAATTTGTTTTTCGCCATCTTTTGTTAATGTATTTAAAATGAATGGCAGTTATTCAAAATAACACTTAAAATATATGTTGTGTGCTTGCCCATTGTACAAGGATACTTTTTTCTAACAATCGGCCGCAATCTAAAAATACCTCTAAGGTTATTACTTTTGGGCAATGAAGTGAAACCACGAAAGTTGTAACGCGTGTGTGTTTGGTTAGTCGCGCTGAAACAAAGAAACAAGCAAACAATTCGTGTAACAACAAAATCGGTCGGTAATGCGATAGGGTTTCTTGTTGTTCGATAAACATATCGATAATAACAATTAATTAGTTTGATTAATAGTGTAAAAATAAATGTTTTGTAACAAAGCTATGCATTAGTGCAGAAATTTTGCATTTTATAAATACTCTGAAAGTAGTATGTACAGGGTGGCGTCTCTCATACGCCG